AGAATGAAAACGTTTCCCACAAGCTTCAATCAGTGCACTGCTGGACACAGAAGTCACAAGACTGCTATATACTGCTGATGAGAAAAGGTATTTAGCAGTTTATATTTACTAAAATAATTGCATTTCCATGTTCTGTGTACTGTGGGAGAACAGATAAAGTGAATGGGGTCTTGGGTTTAGTAACACTAAATGGTTTAGATCATCAAACAAATTTTAATATTACACAAAGATAACCCAAGTGAATTACATTTTTAGATGATGATTTCATTTATTAAGGGAAAAAAGCTGTCCAAACTGAACTGTGATTAACCAGATTTTTCAGAAAGTTAAATCTCACCTGCCCACACCCAGGCCTGATTACTGCCAGACCTGTTGAATCAAGAAATCACTTAAATAGAAGCTGGTTGACAAAGTGAAGCAAGCTAAAAGATCTCAAAAAGCAACACATCATACAGTGATCTAAATAAATTTAAGAACAGCTGAGAAACACAGTAATTGACATGTCTCCTAGATTGTAAGCTCAAAAGAGCAGGGCCCTCGAACCCCTTGTGTTTTGTATTGTTACTGTCTTGTCTCATGTTCTGTCCCCCTTGCTACTGGACAGCGCTGAGCATACCCTTTGGCGCTATATAAATACTGTATAATAATAATAATGTATCAGTCTGGAAAGGGTTACAAAGCCATTTCTAAGGCTTTGAGATTCCAGTGAACCAAGGTGAGAGCCATTATCCACAAATGGCGAAAACGAGGAACAGCGGTGAACCTTCCCAGGAGTGCCTGGCCTACCAAAATTACTCCAAGAATACAATGACGACTCATCCAGGAGGTCATAAAACAACTCAGCACTCTTTATGTCTGGAGAAAAAGAAATGTAATCTCCAAACATGTTTCTTCACAGTGAGAGCTGTGAAAATGTGGAATAGACTCCCTCAAGAGTTGGTTCTGGCCGGCTCAGTGAATTGCTTTAAAAAAGTCCTGGATTCTTTCTTGGATACACAGAATATAACTGGATACTAACATTTATAGGTAAAGTTGATCCAGGGAATATTCAATTGCCTCTTGGGGGATCAGGAAGGTATTTTTTCCCCTGCAGGGCAAATTGGATCATACTTTGCTGGTTTTTTTTGTCTTCCTCTGGATCAACTTTGGGTATAGGATTATAAATTTTTTTTTTTTTAATGTTTGAACTGGATGGACTTTTGTCTTTTTTTCAGCCATAATAACTATGTAACTATGTAACCCAGAACAACATCTGAAGAATTGCAGGCATCACTTGCCTCAGTTAAGGAACATGATTCAACAATAAGAAAGAGACTGGGCAAAAATCGCCTCCATGGGAGAGTTCCAAGGCAAAGCCTCTGCTGACCCAAAAGAATACAAAGGCTTGTCTCACATTTGCTAAAAACATCTTGATTATCCCCAAGACTGTTGGGCACATATTCTGTGGACTGATGAGGCAAAAATTGAACTTGGAAGGTGTGCTTCTGGCGTAAAACAAACACAGCATTTCATAAAAAGAACATAATAGTCAAACATGGTGGTGGTAGTGTGATGGTCTGGGGCTGCTTTGCAGCTTCAGCACCTGGATGACTTGCCATAATTGATGGAACCATGCATTCTACACTCTACCAGAAAATCCTGAAGGAGAATATCCGGCTATCAGTTTGTGACCTTAAGCGCATTTGGGTTATGCAGCAGATCTGAAACACACCACAAAGTTCACCTACGAATGGCTCAAAGAAAAACAAAATTAAGTTTTGGAGTGGCCTAGGCAAAGTCCAGACTTAAAGTGTAAACCCAGGACCCCGCAATCACTACTATATCTGGTCTCCCACAGTACACAGAACATGGAAGTGCAATTATTTTTAGTATGTAGTAGCAATTATATTTTAGTATAGTGGTGGGGTAGTAGCAGGGCAGTATATAGTAGCAGGGCAGTATATAGTGGTGGGGCAGTATACAGTAGCAGGGCAGTATATAGTGGTGGGGCAGTATATAGTAGCAGGGAAGTATATAGTGGTGGGGCAGGGGCAGTATATAGTAGCAGGGAGGCAGTATATAGTGGTGGGGCAGTATAGCAGGGCAGTAGTAGTAGCAGGGCAGTATATAGTGGGGGTGGGGCAGTATATAGTAGCAGGGCAGTATATAGTGCAGGCAGTATATAGTAGGTGGGGCAGTATATAGTAGCAGGGCAGTATATAGTGGTGGGGCAGGGCAGGCAGTATAGCAGTGGTATATAGTGGTGAGCAGTATATAGTAGCAGGGCAGTGGTATATAGTGGTGCAGGGCAGTATATAGTGGCAGGGCAGTATATAGTGGTGTGGGCAGTATATAGTAGCAGGGCAGTATATAGTGGTGAGGCAGTATATATAGTGGCAGGGCAGTATATAGTAGCAGGGCAGTATATAGTGGCAGGGTAGGGCAGTATATAGTAGCAGGGCAGTATATAGTGGTGAGGCAGTATATAGTAGCAGGGCAGTATATAGTAGCAGGGCAGTATATAGTGGTGAGGCAGGCAGTATATAGTAGCAGGGCAGTTTATAGTGGTGAGGCAGTAGCAGGCAGGCAGTATATAGTGGTGAGCAGTATATAGTAGCAGGGAAGTATATAGTGGTGAGGCAGTATGTAGTAGCAGGGCAGTATATAGTGGTGAGGCAGTATGTAGTATAGCAGGGAAGTATATAGTGGTGAGGCAGTATATAGTAGCAGGGCAGTATATATAGTGGTGGGGCAGTATATAGTAGTGGTGGGGCAGTATATAGTGGTGAGGCAGTATGTAGTAGGCAGGGCAGTATATATATAGTGGTGAGGCAGTATGTAGTGGCAGGGCGGTATATAGTAGCAGGGCAGGGCAGTATATAATAGTAGGGCAGTATATAGTATTAGGGCAGTATATAGTGGTGAGGCAGTATATAGTAGCAGGGCAGTATATAGTGGTGAGGGCAGTATATAGTGGTGGGGCAGTATATAGTAGCAGGGAAGTATATAGTGGTGAGGCAGTATATAGTAGCAGGGAAGTATATAGTGGTGAGGCAGTATATAGTATGTAGTAGTGGGCAGTATATAGTAGCAGGGCAGTATGTAGTGGCGGGGCAGTATATAGTAGCAGCAGGGCAGTATATAGTAGTGGTGGGCAGTATATAGTAGCAGGGCAGTATATAGTGGTGGGGCAGTATGTAGTGGCGGGGCAGTATATAGTAGCAGGGCAGTATATATTGGCAATGAAGTGTGTAGTGGCAGGACAGGGGAAGTCGGAGAGGTCAGCCTCTTACCATATACCTGGCAGATGAAGCCCAGCTGCCATCTTTTCTCTTCCTCAGTGTCACCCGAACTTCAGCTAGAGTGCTGCGGCCGCATGTGTGAGGAATGTAGAAGGTGGCCACACCCTGGCCTTGCCCACCATTTCTGCCCACCTAGAGAAAACATCCTGAGCTCTAAGGCTGTATTCACAGGTTAGCATTTTGCAAACATTCGTAAAAGTATGTGATTTTGAGCACATTAAAGAAATGCATAAAAACCTCCGGTTGCACTTCTGTTGCTATTCATAGGTAATGGCAGCCCAAACATGACAAAAAAACATGCAACACGGCAATACACATAGTTAAAAGTACGTACAAAGGTTGACTCTCAAAAAGGTACATGAGTTACTTTGGCAGGTGTAGGGCAGCCCATTGAAAGTAATAGGCTGCCTTATGTGTGTGGCGCAAAGCGTGCATGTGGCGTGACTTTACGCACGCTCACAAAACGCCAAACGTTAATGCAGCCTAAAAGAGAGCGCCTGCTGGCTCCCACCATCAAGGGGCTCCAGAAGGAAGCATATACAGTATACAGGAGACCGAGGGGGCACACTGGACCCCAGGGACAGGAGCAAGATACAAGAAGCCTCTGCTGACCTAATGGGGGCCAGGCCCTGTATGGGAGGATGGCCTGTACCCCCCCTATCAGCAGTGCTGCTGCACACCAATGATGTATATTTATTACAGAAGCAACAATACTATCACAACGGTTTACACCGTCACTAATATGTTATCTCTCATCCCCATAAAAATTCATCTGCGGTGTTTTGGTCGGCCCAGCATGGCTGGATGGACAGTTGCTCACAATGCGAGTAATTAAAAAGGGATTTTTTTTTATTAATGCGAGCGATTTTATTAATTCTCTATATTAAAATTCTATAGACACTGAGTAACAACTTTCATAATCTCCATTTCATTATCTTAATGAGATCTTTCCTCCATTATCCCACAGTTTAATTTTGATCACTTTAATGGAGGTACACAGTCAGAAATCCATGGCGCTGGGTTTTTCCTCCCTCTGTTCCCCCCTCCATCGGCTTCCTTTTTTCTCTGTTTCGCTTTGGCAGGTTTTATAATTGCAAAGAGGTATATTTTTAATGGCGGTTTTAATGCCTTCTATGCCTTGTCAGAAATGAAAGCTTGAGGCGCACGGTCTAGAAAAACGGAATCAAATTATACAACTTGCTGCGGGAAGATATCAGTGCTAAATAGTAAATAGGGTAGGATTATTATGGAGCTACCCCATACTGATGCCGAAATGGTCTACGCTACTTTGGCTTCCAGGCTTGCCTGTTTGTTGCAGATCTTCAGAGACATTATATTGAAAAATTGGTCTTTTTTTTCAAGATCATTACTAAACTTGTTCTGTAACTAGGAAAAAAAAAACCCCTCCGTGTTCTTCAGTCTCCTTGTGGCCAGCACGCTAAGATCATTTCTAAGGGCTAAGCTGGTGTTTCTAAGGGCTCTTTCAGTCACATGGTATTGATCAGGTACGGACTGACAACTCATGGGGCCCCCGGGCAATAGGGGATCATGGGGCCCCTGTGTCCTTGCCCACACTCAAAGCACACCCAAAAAAGCCTATAAAAAAGGTACCAGGGGCATTTCATGGGGCCCCTACTGACCCTGGGCCCTCGGGCAGTGCCCGAGTGCTTGAATGGTCAGTCCGCCCCTAGTATTGATATAGTGGGTCGCCTATCAGAGGGCCGTATAGAATCAGCTGGCAGGCATTTCAGGAAGCGCTATTGCCATCTCCTGATGCCTGTTTTTTTTTTCCTTTACTCTTTTTTAATTGCCAAACATTTAACTGCACCGCAATTGTGACCCAGCCATTTGGGTCACAGTGGTGATTCTGCCCCAAACGAGTTGGACAAGCGGTCACTACTTTGCAGCCCGAGGGAAAATAGTGGCATGCATACAGCCCTGTTAGGTTGTAATGTTAGAAATCTGGTTGATGGGGTGAGAGGCAAGGGGTAGGTAAAACTGTGGCTCAACCACCTGTTCCCTCGCCAATGTGAAAAAGCCCTCAACTTGCTTCTCTTAATACTATATCAATGACAGGTGGTTTATCTAGATGCCCCATCCACAACCGACCACAATATTACAGAAAGAATTCATATATATAGAGTGCATGCATAATGTTTTCAGACCCCTTCACTTTTGTGTTGCAGCCTGATACTACAGTTGTTTAAATTCATTTTTTTCCTCATTAACCCCTTGGCGCCGGTGCCTCCTAGCCCTTTAAGGGTTTCAGAAGCTGGGAGGCGGGGCGGGGTTTTAGGCAATGTGACCACCGTGATTCACTGTCACGGCGGTCACATGATCGGGAAAGGTCCCGATCCCAAGAGGAGATCGGGACCTTTCCGTGAATACCGGACATGTGTGCTGGGAGCATGCAGGGTGCGTGCTCTCAGCACATATGTTTTTAGAAATGTTTGCGAATGTAGGAAAAATGGAAAACTGAAATATCACATTGGCATAAGTATTCAGATTGTTTGCAACAACACTTGAATTTTAGCTCAAGTGCCTCCCATTTCTTTTGATCGTTGCTGAGATGTTTCTAAACCTTGATTGGAGTCCACCTGTGGTAAATTAAATTGATTGGACATGATGTGGAAAGCCACACACCTCTTTATAAAAGGCCTCACAACTGACAATGCATACTGTATCAGAGCAAAATAAATGAGGTCAAACGAACTGCCTGCAGGGATCAGAGACAGGATTATTGCAAGGCACAGGTCTGGGGAAGGCTACAAAAAAAATCTGCTGCATTGAAGGTTCCAAAGAGCACAGTGGACCCCATAGTTCTCGAATGGAAGAAGTTTGGCACAACCAGGAAGAGCTGGCCAGGCCAAACAAGCAATCAGGGAAGAAGGTCCTTAGTAAGAGAGGAAACCAAGAACCCAATGGTCAATCTGGCTGAGCTCCAGAGATCCTGTGTGGAGATGGGATAAAGGGGTTGATTTACGAAAAGCAGGTAGAATGTTTATTTTGCAAAGTGCAGTTGTACTCTGCAAGATCAGTTGCTCCAGGACTTAGTAAATGAGAAAAAGCTCTGCTGACTTCCATCATACAATCATATGCAAGCAAAAATGTTTTTTTTTTTTTAATTTTCTTTGCATGTGATTGGGTATTCTTTGAAAAGTCTGTCTGGAGCAACTGCGCTTTGCAAAGTGCACAGTCTATTTGGCTTTAGTAAATCAACCCCAAGGTTCCAGAAGGTCAACCAGCACTGCAGCCCTCCACCAATCTGGACTTCATGGTGGAGTGGCTAGATGGAGGCTCTCCTCAGTGAAAAACACATGAAAGCTCACTTGGGGTTTGCAAAAAAGCACCCAAAGAATTGATAATGGAAGGAATTCCTGCTTTCACTGTCTAAGTAAGGGTTACGAGTGCACAGCGGAACACTACACAGACTTGTTTTCCTACACACCCAGGTCCAAAGTGGATCAGTTTGCCTGCCCTGATTTGTAGCATGAAGGGAAAACATTATTAGTCTCCATTTTACCATCCATAAAAAAATTCTGGTTTAATGGCAAATTTTTGGCTCCTTCCTATTACCTGTATCAAACTCTGGTTCTCAAGAGGTTCTGTGTGGAACTGAATAATAAAATGCTTGCCATGCTTTACCATCTGTCCCAGTCAAGTTGGTTATTTGGTGTCAGGAGTCATTCAACACTCTCCAAGTAGCTTCTCCTTACCTTGTGTAGCACTCACTCATATAACAGCCTGCTGTTTGGGTCTCTGGGTTCTTTTTTCTTGTAGTTGCACCTACAGCAAGGCACACAGTCACATTCAGTCCTTTGGCTCAGTCTGGGGATATGCTTTTCTGATGCTTTATTGCAGAAGTTGAACTTGGATAGGTTTAGGGTAACCATGGGATACTCCAGTAACTTTAAGAAGCAACTTGAGGATTCTAACCTTCCTCCATAAAAAAATATATGAGCACAATCCAAATATTGGGCTGAGATTTACCAGGACATCAGGCACAATGTTCCCTTTGAACAACCCTGACTCTAGCACAAGAGGGATGGCAGCAGCACATAGTCTTAGGGATCTCTTTCTCCAGTCTGTGCTCACTAGCGCCCTTGGATGATGATTGGTTGCATCCTTCCAATATCTTCTAGACATCTCTCCTGTGATACCAGACCAGAACTCCAGACAAAAGTCCCTCAGTCAGACTTTTAGTAAAATCGGTCTGCCAGCTAGCCCAGCTGGGACATTAATGAGCAGCAAACACACGGTAGGACTGCCTGGAAGGGCAGCAGCCCTCCAGGTTGAGATCTCCTCCTCCTAGGACACAACAGATCTGTTTCAAACCGCAGGCTGTTTATGCTCCCTCCCATTCACCATCTGGGCATCTCTCCCCAGGGATTGGCCAGGGCTGCATAAATATTCAGCTCCTGATTCGACCCTCCCAGTCCACTATCTTCCAGAACCCTTCAGACAGACAGGGGGATCCAGTCAACCCTGCAGCCAGTGAAACACAGAACAGACCAGAATAATCACATGCATCTCAACTGATCACAGAGAGCCAATAACTAAATTTACTTAATCTGACACCTATCTAGGAAGGTGCAAAACTCGGAATATCTGACTTTCCAGTAGAGGGTATCTGGTTTGAAGAGTCTGAGACTGGACGTAGAGAGTTTGGCATTTTGTTCTGTGGAAGAAAAACTCTTGACCTGGATCAGGCCTAGATACTCAATGAATTGGCTTCAATGCAGATTTCTAAAGGTTCAAAATCCAACCAATCCTTGTCAAGGCTTGATCTGCCCACATCACATTGTTGGTCTGGGTCTGTGCTTACTGTTCCCTCAACAAGAGGTAATCCAGATATCCAACAATGGGGATGCTCAGCGAGTGTAACAAGGCAAGAACAGAGGCTAGAATTCTGTTGAATACACAGGGTGCAGGGAACAGGCTAAATGGCAGGGCCATGAGCTGGAAGTGCCAGCGACGCAAAGTGAAGTGAAGAAATTGATGATGAGCTGAAAAAATAGAGGCATGCAAGTACACATCCCTAATGTTTACAAAGGCCAGAAAGTCTCCCTGATGAGGGGAGGGAATGACAGACCCGGAGGATCCTATATGGGACCAAATTAAGACATTCAGGACCCCAAGATCCAAGATAGGGCCTAAGCCCCTTTTTGATTTTGGAAGTGAAAACATATTTGAATAAAATCCTTAAAACTCTTCTGAAACAAGAACTGAGGCAATAATCCCTTCTTCCAGAAGACCCACAGGGCTGCATGGAGGTCTGCTAATGTGAGCAGTGACATCAGAAAGTTGGAAAGAATGAAGTGAGGAAGGGGTTGGGAGTGTGACACTAACTTGTAGCTTGTTGAAACCACATCCCATACCCAGGAATCTAAGTTGCCTGTCCAATTGTCCCCAAAGGTTAACAGACGTTCAGGGCCTGCTGATAAAGGGGTACCACCAGTATGGTGGCCTGGGCCCCATCAGTTTAAAAAGGGAGCCCGGACAGCTTCATGGCACACTATAATGTGCAGGCAATGCATGATCAGCTCCGAGAGTATCCAGTAAAAAATAAATAAAAAAAAAAGTCTTCAAATAATGTCCACACTGTGTTGAAGCCACCACCAGAAAAAATTGAGTCACTCACCAAAGCTAAATGCTGATCAATTGAACTAGCAACAAGCACTTTTTGCTCTGGGGCAATATATAGCAGTCCAATTCCTGAATGCAATGCTGTGCAAATAAACAAACTCTCCTCAGATATATAGCCACCATTCAAGGATATAGGTAATTTCCAGGGATAAAGCTCATCTTTCTTTCATACACCTCCATACCATTGGGACCATGTTTAAAAGGTAAGAGAAAAAAATCATGGTGCAGCAAGTTTCACACATGTAACAAATTTTTAATGAACGAATAAAACTCACAAGTGAGGTGTCTGCACCGACACCAGTGTTACAAGCATGGATTTAGGCAGCTGTACACGAACGTAACTTCGTTCACCACGAATCACCTCCTTTCAGATTCAGAGACTGTCTCAGACGTTGGCATCCAGTAGGCCGACGTCTGAAAGGAGGTGATTCGTGGTGAACGAAGTTACGTTCGTGTACCGCTGCCTAAATCCATGCTTGTAACCCTGGAAATTACCTATATCCTTGAATGGTGGCTATTTATCTGAGGAGAGTTTGTTTATTTGCACAGCATTGCATTCAGGAATTGGACTGCTATATATTACCCCAGAGCAAAAAGTGCTTGTTGCTAGTTCAATTGTTCAGCATTTAGCTCTGGTGAGTGACTCAATTTTTTCTGGTGGTGGCTTCAACACAGTGTGGACATTATTTGAAGACTTTTTTTTTGAATATTTAATGATTTATGAACATTTTTTATAATAATTTTCTATATATTTTTCACATCTATTTTTTAATTACTTAGCTCATTCCTTTTATTAATTTGTTTGAGCAAAAAATTAATTTGTGATTTTTTGAAGTGGAATTTGCTGCTTTAGAGATTTAGGGTGTGGCGCTTTTCTAAAATACTATTGAAAAAATAAATTTCCCTGGGCCCCATTATATCATCAAAGGGGCCCAGCTATAGGGCCTGACCACCTGTGCTAGGGGTTAAAGTGACAGTCAGAGAGATTTGATTCAGTGGGGCTGCTCCTCTTGTGTTTGCGATCTGACATGGTCCAACCCCACAAACAAGAACAACTTAGATTTGAAACAAATATTAAAACATAAAACAGCGCAAATAA